CTTTGTATGTGTTGAAATTTCTTCAACAGAATTGGTTCGGTAGATTCTAAATATTGCAGAAGCTTCAGTTACCTAGCACGAGGGACAGCTAGTCTGTAGTGAACCAAAATATTGTAGTCCTACAAGTTTTATCTTTCTTCTGAAACTACCTTTTTATATGCAAGACATCCAGTAAGTGCCTTTTGTGTACAGAAATTAGTGTTTATTTATGATTTATTTTAATTTCTGAGTTAGAGTAACAGAGAGATGGAGAGACAGAGATCTTCCTTCTACTGGTTCATTCCTCAAATGGCCACAACAGCTGCAACTGAATCAAAATGAAGCCAGGAGTTCTGGGTCTGTCACACTGGTGCTGGGATCCAAGCACTAGGGCCATTCTCCGCTTTTTTCCCAGGTCAGTAGGATGGAGCTGGATCAGAAGTGGAGCATCTGGAACCCCCAGTGGAACTTTTCCAGGGGCAGCATTGTATTCAAGGGAGTTGCTGCACTTCTGAGGTCAGATGAGTTATAGGAAAACCCACAGTTTTGAAGATCCATCAGGAAATTCTAGGGACAAGAGCAAAACCTTTCCCATGGATTATTAGTGTTCCAGAATATCAGTCATTCAGTTCATGTCCTGGGGATACGTCTGGTGCCACATTCATGCTACTGCAGATTCTGGGAGGCAGTGAGTACTGCATCCAGTAGTTAGGTACCTGTTGCCCATTTGGGAGATTCAGATTGAGTTATGGGCTCCTGGCTTTGGCTGGGACCAGTCCCATCTATAGTAGGCCTTTGAGGAGTGAGCTCTGAAACGGAACATTTCTAGCTTTCTCTGTTTCTCTATCCTTCAAACAAATAAAAATGAAACAAATTATTTAAAATAGAAATATATAGTGTTAATTACTTGGGTATATTTGCTTTGTAAAAATCCTTTGAATTACGAGCTGTGCAGTTTCCTAGGGCAGATTATCTTATGCTTTTGTTGAAGGACTTTCCATAAACTAAGAAAATGGGTCATTTGGGATGAGGAATATGAATAAACTATTTTTAGAAGTTAACAGTGGCTGCAAAATACCCATTCTTTAGCATTGGCTCTGCTGTGGAAGGTGAGGCAGTTAAGAGCGTGGGGCTAGGTGGGTAGCTCAAGCAGGTGCAGTTCATGAATAAGAGCTGCCTGCCCATGGAATGGCAGGCTCTTGGGTTAGCACAGGCCTTTGGCCACCAAGCCTCTAAGGAAGGTGGAAAACAAACACAGTTATGGAGGAAGGACCAGAAAAAGCTTGATTGTAGTTCAAGACTGGCAGACTGGGTCTGTAATGCTGTTCAGGCTGCCACTTATTGCTTAACCTTGTCATGTGCCTAGACACTAAGATAGGGACTGTGTGTCATTAAAAACTTTAAATTCTTACTACAACCCTGAGGGCTGTGTGCTTCATTCATCAGCTGTAGTTGCTGTAGTGAAATAACTGACAAGCAAGATTTTGCCTAGTTCTTAATTTTGGAGGTTGAAGATCCAAATGTCATGGTACAGACTTGCTCTAGTGAGGGGCCCATGGCAAATGGCACTGCATGTGCTGAAAGGTATCCAACAACAAGCTAAGAAGTGCCCCGATGTCCTTCCATCAGGCCGTCTCTTCTGAAGATTCTTTCCCTGTGGCAATGGCCTGGGCACTAAGCCTTTAACACTTTCAAACCAATGTCCACATCCTAGCAGTGCAATCATTATCCACATTTACAGGTGAGAAAACTGATGTTTAGAGAGATCAGATAAATTGTTCAAATTCTGGTTAGGAAGTATTAGGAATGTAAGATTGGACCTCCTGATAAGAGGATTGAAAATTCCCCCCCCCCCCCCAAGTCTAATGACTCTATTACAGTGTTTTATTTTTAAATGATTTTTTTAAGAGAAGATTTACTTGTTATTTGAAAAGCAGAGTGATAGAGAGACCTTCCTTTCAGTGGTTCACTCCCCAAATGGTCTCAACAGCCAGAGCTGGACTGGTCTGAAGCCAGAAGCCAGGAGCTTATTTCAGGTTTCCTATGTAGGTACAGGGGACCAAGCACTTGGGCCATCCTTCACTGCCTTCCCAGAACATTAACAGAAACTGAAATGGAAGTGGAGCATCCAGAATATGTCCCTATGGGATGCCAGTGCCTTAGGCTGAGGCTTTACGTACTATGCTACAGCACTGGCCTGCCTATCTATCTGTTTATCTATCCATCTATCTATCTATACACACGTACATACACACATATTTTTTAAGATTTATTTATTTTTATTGGGAAGGCAGATTTACAGAGAGAAGGAGTCACAAGAAAAAGATCTGGCTACTGTTCACTCCCCAAGAGGCTGTAATGGCGAGAACTGAGCTGATCCAAAGCCAGGAGCCAGGCGCTTCTTCCAGGTTTCCAATGTGGGTGCAGGGTCTCAAGGGTTTGGGCCATTCTCGTCTGCTTTCCCAGGCCACAAGCAGGGAACTGGATGGGAAGTGGGGCAGCTGGAACATGAAGAAGCACCCATATGGGATCCTGGCACATGCAAGGCAAGCATATAGTTACTAGGCTGCCGTGCTGGGCTGGGACCCTATATTTTTTTAAAACTCATTTAAAATGGTTTGAGGAACTGTGAGGGCTGCAAAGCATCAGAGAGACTGAGAGAAACACAGGGGGAAGAGAGAGTTTCAATCTTCTAATTGACTCCCTAAATGCCCACAGTTGCTGGGCACAGAGCCAGGAACCAGGAGCTCAGTCCTGGTCTCCCATGTCAGTGCTGGACACTGAGCCTGGACATTCCTATATGGAATGCAGGTGGCTTATCTTGCTAGGTGAAATGCATTCCCTGAACCAGTTGTATTTGACTGAGCATAATGAAAAGAAGAAAACGACTTGCTATAATATATATGATGTTCAGATTTGATCAGAAGGACTTGTCAAATCAATTTGGAAGTTTCAGGCTTGCAGCCCTGGAATTTTCCCTTTCTATTATTGGATAGTGAGGAATACCTTGACTGGAGTACGGGAAAGGAATGAGAAATCCTCCAAGACATGACACAGGTTGTAATGAGAATGACACTTGCTGAGTGCCCCACACACCCTTTTTAATGCTTTCAGGTCATTTAAACAACCCAAATAATTGCTTGTAATAGGCCGGCTTTGTTTTCAGCTCATCAATGATGCTTCAAGATAGATTTTATTCCTCTTACTGCTAATTCAAATGCAGAGAGAAATGAAGTAGATGCTGATTGCATCTACTGCCACGCCACTGTCTGCATATCAATGCTTCCTGACTGCTTGCTATGGAAAGCAGGGAAGGAGGAGGAAAGAAAAGGATGTGACAAGGAGCTTCATTGTGTCTCTAAAGCCAAATTCTGGTACAAAGGCTAGAATATTATACAAAGTGTTGATATTTCTAAAAGGTTAGGATTCGGGATTGCCCCGCATGGCTCGTGTGTGTCCTCTGGTAGCTTTTGTATGCTACACAGCATGCCCTGAGAGCATACACAGGTCCATAGTTTAGGCTTTGAGTTCTTTTGCTCCAGGGGCTTGTTTTTGACCCCTAGGGCATTCATGTTTGCAGGCTGTGGAGTAGCATCAGAACATCCTCAGAATCCTTACGAAAATAAGCTTATTTCCCTCCAGACGTGGCGCCCCAGCTGCCATGTGACTGATGCTTGTGTGATGGATATGGTAGAAAAGCACCTGATCTGATTAAATGAGAAATATATGTGGACATGCTTTTAGAACTTCCTGTGTATTAAAAGAGAGTCCTTCCTTTATTGTTGGTGCCAGTGACCTTGATTTTATTGCTGTGATGATACAGAAGAAATATCAAACAAGCTGCAATAATTGAAAACACCTACCTCCTACTCAATTTATTTTACTGAAAGTCCTCTTGTTATATGGACTTCTTTTATATACAGGTGCTTTTAAAGAATTGGACAGCATACTCTGGGTTGCATGTTTTGAAGGATAGAATTTCTACTTGAGCAGCTGACTTCTCTTCTGGGAAAAGGCAATTATTTATGAACTTGATTAGCGTCTTACATTGTGTGCTGAAGCTGCGCAGAGTGCTGCTGGAACATGTGGTGTGCTGGGATTTGGGAGGCTGCTAGTTCGTTTCCCGAATGTCTGGACAACAGCAGGTTGACAGTGTTAGTGAAGGCAGTGCCATTATGCTGCCACCAGCATCGGGATTGTTTTGTTTGGGCTTTGTTTTGGTAAATAGATACTGTCAAGCACTCTCAGGGCATTTTCTGGTAGAGGTTTATTTACACTGAGCTCTGACTTTCCTTTTACTTAATGAAATAGTGACAAGTGTTGTTTTCTATCTTCAATACAGTGTTATTAGTGATTTTATAAAAACAGAAAATCATTTTCCAGGTGGGCCTGACAACCATTTTGTACACATAGCCTCCTGTAACTGGTCAGGAGTTGGCATGGATAAATGGGCAGGTTTTCAGGCAATTTGGCTTTGCTTTCCAATCTTGCATCTCTGTTTCCTTTCCCATGTCCACAGCATGTTTATGCAACACTGACTAAATCTTCTAATGAGAAATTTCTTCCAGGTGACCTCGCTGGGAGACTGCACTGTGAGGAAATCTTCGGAAACCCGACCCTGATGAAATTGCCTCTGTTGAGAATATTGTTTGGTGCGAAAACAAGGGACAGAATTCAGTTATTTTTGGTTCTGGGATAAGTGAATTCTGTTTCCTTGTGTTTAAGGTGGCAGAAGAAATTAACCCTTGTAGACAGTCCTCTCTGTTTGCGAATTGAGCTGTTGCTTTCTTCCAAGTTAGGAGAGCCCTGGATAAGAGAATGTCAAATTGTTTTTATTTAAACCTCAGGCAGCTGTTAGAATCGATTCTGCTGTCTGCATGTCTTTTTTTTCTAGATGTGCCTTTTTTGGAGTTGTTTGTCTTTACCTTTAATTTTATGGAAACGAGTTTCTGATCACTCAGTGGCCTCCGATGTGGCGCCACAATGAGTGGATACTAATGAATCATTTCTTAACTTTTCAGCACTTTTGGAGAAATCAATCAGTAGAAGACGGGACACTGAAGCTGTGCAAAAAGCCAAAATCCTTTATTCATCCTGCATGAATGAGAGTGAGTAACAAAGACAGTAAATCTCTACCGTCGTTATCCTCCTGAATTCTCTTAGTGTTTCAAGATACTGTGCGAGGGAAAAGAGAACTACCAATAATTTGATTAAAATTTAAAGGTTTTGTTTCAGGAAAGCTAATATTTTCAAAGACTGCATATTCCTGTCTTAGTCAATGTTCTCTTCCTGGCTTGGCAGAAGAAGTAACCTTATTTCTGAGACTCAGATCCTCTGGGTAGCAAAGGAATAGAAACTTGGATAGCGTGAGCAAGGCGAACTCCACAGGAGCTGATGCAGCAATGGGAACCCAGTGGCAAGGCTCTAGTGTGAGCAAGAGGTTGTGAAGGAGTGCACTTGGCAGTGCTGATTTGTTCCATAGCACCACTTGCAGCCAGGCAGAATCCAGATTCCCAAGTGTGCCTGGCTTCTCTGTCAGCCTACTGGGCTGCTTTGGTGGGTAGCTCTGACCTGTCTGCTGAACATCTCCAGTCTGACTAGAGTGAGCTGAACATTTGCCTCCTTTCTTTTTCTCTCTTTCTCTCTCTTTCTTTTCTCTCTTTCTCTCTCTTTCTTTTCTCTCTTTCTTTCTTTCTTTCTTTCTTTCTTTCTTTCTTTCTTTCTTTCTTTCTTTCTTTCTTTCATGGAAAATGCCTTTCTCTTACTCTAAACTCTTTTAAGATTTATTTATTTTTATTAGAAAGGCAGATTTACAGAGAGGAGTCACAAGAAAAAGATCTTCTGTCTGCTGGTTCACTCTCTAAGTGACCACAACAGCTGGAGCTGAGCCAATTTCAAGACAGGAACCAGGGGCTTTTTTTGGCGGGGGTCTCCCATGCAGTTGTAGGATCTCAAGGCTTTGGGCTATCCTTGACTGCTTTCCCAGGCCACAGGCAGGGACCTGGATGGGAAATGGGGCTGCCTGGGAAATGAACAGGCACCCATATGGGATCCCAGTGATTTCAAGGTGAGGATTTAGCCACTGGGCCATCATGACAGGTCATAATTGTTTCTCTTTCTAGAAGCCATCACAGAAGAAGCCAGCACCTGCAACAACTGTGTTAACTGGTTTTGGAATCTGGTGATTACTTGGTGTGTTAGAAGAGGGCATTAAAGACAAAAGACTGAAGCATTCATTCCCATTTATTGGGGAGTGGTTGGCTTTACTGAGCCATTTCCTTTAGTTTGGGTTATCCGAATCTCAAAGTCATGAGCATATCTTCTAGTGTAGGGAGTATCTAACAAGTTCCCTGGTCACTCTCCTGGTGAGAGCCCAGCTTTAGCATTTAAGTGTGAGTCATGGGTAGTTTTATCTCTGTGATTTATGTCCAGTCCACCCCACTTTTCCTTAACAGCTGAAATTTTAAGTTGAGCTCTGAACGGAAATTTTCTCTTGAAAAGATGCACTTATATTGTAGCCTGCAGGGCTAGTTTACAAATGTAACTCTCCCTTCACATCTGCTCCCCTTCAGAAGCGATTGAGAAAGCAGATGCCAAGCCATTGCTGCACATCCTGCGGCATTCCCCATTCCGCTGGCCAGTGCTGGAATCAAATATTGGTCCTGAAGGTGTTTGGTCTGAGAGAAAGTTCAGCCTCCTGCAGACCCTTGCAACGTTTCGTGGTCAATACAGCAATTCCGTGTTCATCCGTTTGTATGTATCACCTGACGACAAAGCATCCAATGAACACATCTTAAAGGTATATGTGGGACTTACTCATCTTTGTTCAGGTCAAGCTGAGCAATTTGGGTGTTTCTGGGTAAAGAGACACATGCTGCTTTAATGATAACAATTCTGTTGGGTGTTAAGAGCTAGAATGGAGATCATTAGCACATACATTTTGTTCTCCTTTGAGGAAGTCAGGGAGTGAGTTGCAAGTTTTCTGTGTTCTGCCCTTCAAATATCCCTTTGGGACATGTGACAGGGTCCCCAAATGCCTGTTATCACCAAGGACTTCATGAAGTCCCTCTTTCCCTTGCCTCTTCATTTTCTGACTGAGAGAATATGGGCCATGATTTGTTTTTCCTCTTTCACTAATTTCTTCTTGCATACAGGCCTCAGTTTTTATTGGCAACCTCAATCCCGATCTCTCCTTCCTTTGCAAAGATGAAGTAGGAGAATCTTGAAGTGCCTGCTTGCACTCACCGGTGGGAGAATGAGTGTGTCTTCCATAAAGGAGCCAACCAGGTGGATAGCCTCTGGGGATCACATTGGCAAAGTCAGGAAACTGTCAGGAAATACACATAGTGAAAGAACATTGTGAGAATTCAAAGACCACTTCTCAAGTTGTTTTGCACTTTGTTCCTGCTGGGTTTTGTCCTTCCATAGTTACTTTGACTAACAGTGAAAATATTATGGAACCACTGATTCCCCCCCAATTCTGGTTCATTTTTTCAAGCTACATTGTATTAATTACATGCTGGATATTTTAATAATAGAAGGATAAAAAGATTAGAGTCTGTTAACATGTCAACCTCCCAACATCCAAACCTTGAAGTTTATATTTGGATTTAGAGCAGAGGTTGGCATCTTTTTCTGTAAAGGGCAAAATAATGCTTGCTTTAGGCCTTGTACACCATCTGGCCTCTGTTGCAATGACTCAGCTCTGCTGTTGTACCTGGTAAAGCAGCTGGGCAGGGAGAATGCGGAGGCTGCGGGGGAGGCTGAGTCAAAGACTGCTTTCTGGCCTCTAGTTTAAACAATACAAGTCTCAGTAAAAACCTTTGGGCAAAGAAAGAATTTTCATCTACATAAGAAGTTCTCAGTTATGGAGGTCATTGTCTTGGGTGATTAATCTATCACATGATACTGAGTCATCTGATGTTTATTAGGATGACACATACCATGTAAGACATACTGATAGTGGCAATCCAATTGACCTTTCTCCTGAACTGATAGATTCCTCTTTTTTATTAAGATTAATTAATTTTTTTTTTTATCAGAAAGGCAGAGACAGAAAGAAAGATCCTCTGGTTCACTCCCCAACTGACCGTAATGGCTGGAGCTGAACTGATCCAAAGCCAGGAGATTCTTCCTGGTTTCCCACTCAGGTGCAGGATCCCTAGGCTTTGGGCTATCCTTGACTGCTTTCCCAGGACACAAGTAGGGAGCTGGTTGGGAATGGAGCAGCCTGGACATGAACTGGCACCCATATGAAATGCCAGTGGTTGCAGGGGAAGAATTATCCAGTTGAGCCATAATACTGGGTCCAATTCATTATTTAAACAGAATTATTTTTTATTAAAGAGAGAGAGAGAGAGAGAGAGCAAGAGAGAGAGAGCATGCTTCCATTTGCTTGTTCACTCTTCAAATGGCTGCAATGGCCAGAGCTGAGCTGATCTGAAGCTGGGAGCCAGTAAATTTTTGCTGGTCTCCCATGTGAGTAAAGGGGCCCAAGGTCTTAAGCTATTCTTCACTATTTTCCTAGGCTGTATGTAAGCAGTTAAGTAAATTGGAAGTGGAGTAACCAGGACCTGATTCTGTGCCCATATGGGGTGTTTGCACAGCAATGGAGGCTTAGCCCATGATATAACTGCACCAGCTCCCAAATCCCCAGGCCTCTCTCTCTTGCTCCTTTCTTTTCTTTTTATATTTTATTTTTTAACGTTGCTTACACAGTTTAGAGGGATACACACCCATGTGAGTCTCCGGAGGAAGGTGGATGGGACAAATGTTTTCATTTTTTTTTCTCCTGTGTGTACAAGTGGAGGGAGAGGAGGGGGCTATTCTTTGCTGTGAAACAACATCAGCACTCAGGGATGGGGGGTCGGTCATTTGAATATGCCTTAGAGACCCCAACGTGGGGAGAGTGTTCTGTGGGTGTTGTTATTTAGTGGCTTTGATAGTTCTGAGATATTGTCAGCTTCATTGTATTAGGGTTGAAAAAAATCTTTCAAGCTCTATTGATTGACTAAGTGTATCTCAGTGCATCCACAGCCCAGAAACTTGCTGCAAAGCTTGGCCAGGAGAGTTGTTCAACCTCTTCTGCTTTCCATCCTTTGACAAGGCACTTGATGACTTCTGGTAGCTCAATTGTGCCTGTTGTCATGTTTTTTTGTGTGCAAATGGGTTTGCTGACCACTATGCTGGCATCAGCAACTGATGAGGTCCAGTCCTGATACATACACTCCAAGGTTGGACTACACATCCTGTGATTTTTCCCTGTGGTTGGGGTCTGGGTCCAGTGGTCTAATTAGTAGCCCCCAAGAAACCTCACCTGGGGTGACCTTAAACTTGACTCTCATATGTGCCATGTAGTGCGGGGTCAGGTTCAGGCTGTCACATGTACCAACCAATGCACTTATTGGTAGATGCAGCTGCCTGGTCAGTTCTGCCTTCAGCCAAATTTCTCAAGTGAACCAATAGATGCTATAGCCTAGTGCAGCTCAGTCCACCATAGGCCCAGTCTTCATGCATACCAGCAGGTGATGTAGCCTAGTTAGCAAAACCCCCAATAATCCCCAGCAGGCCCAAACCCAGACCTGATTTTTTTTTAATGTGCCAGGATGTGCTGCAGCCTAGTCTGGTCTATTCTGCATCCTATCTGGCTCTCATGCACAACCTTGGGTGCTGAAACCTAGCTCAGCCTGACCTGTCCCCAGACTCAGCCCACTCACATGCTGATGGATGCTGCTTCCTTGCCCAGCCCAGTCCGTCACCAGCCCCAGCTCCTGTGCTCACCAGTGGGAGCTGCAGTGTTAGACAGTAGGTGTGTCAGCCTAGACTAGCCTGGACCATCCGCAGACCAGGGTTCCCCTAGACCCAATCTCAGAATGCCCACCAGCCTTAGCTGCTTTTCTCCAAGCAATAGATCACTTCCTATGTACAAGGCAACCTAGATAGTTGCTGTTAGCTGAAATCTTTTTCTTTCTTTTTAAAATAATGTCTAAAGACTCTCATTCTTAGCTCTGGAACAGTTAAAACATTCTCCTAGAAACCTTAAATGCTATTTTGTGGTAGGCTGGCGACTGCCTTTCAAGCTTAAGTTTATGAACTCTGTTGAGTGATGAAAGATTTTGATTGACACACAAATAATTGAAAAGGGTAAACTTGATTTTTCACCGGTTTCTGGACATAGTCACATAATAGAATATGTTCCTTTAAACATTTCCGCTTTTAAATGGAAAGCAATACACCAAAAAATAAAAAGAATGTAACAACCATCAATTTATTCATCAAACCTTCAACGTTGTACTGTTCTTGGTTTATCTAAACCCTCCTCTTTTGGGAGGGGGCTGGGACATTTTATAGCAAATCCAAAACCTAGTATCATTGTGTTGGCAAGTATTTCAGTGTTTATCTAATGGAAAAGATTTTACTTACAATATTAAAAGTAATAACTCCCAATTAAACATATCCAGTTCATTTTCAGTTGTCCTGATTTCCTCAAGTATATTAAAAAAAATTAAAAAAACGGAAACAGTTGGTGTTGGAATCAGCTCCAAAGAAGAAGCAGATGTGCATTTTGTTGGTATATGTACATACAAAGAAAGAGACAGAAAGAGAGAGAGAGACATTTTCCATCCAGTACTGCCCTCCACAATGGCTAACAAAAAATCCTGGCTGTGGCCGAAGCCAGCAATTGGCAACTGAAATCAAGTATCCCATGTGGGAATGGGTAGCCCAATTACTTGAGACTTCACTGCTGCTGCTGAGGGTATGTGTTAACATGAAGCTAAAATCAAGAGGTTGAGGAAGGACTTGGACATGGACACGCTTATGTATGGCATGCAGATGTTTTAAATGATGACTTAATTGTTAGGCCAAGCATCCACTTCTGGTAATCAATTTTTAGCAGCTTGCCTTGCATACTTAATAGTCTTTTCAATCAATCCTCACTAAACTTTGGGGAATAGAAAACTCTCCAAATGTATGGAAGTATTCCTGTGCTTATTGTTGCTTTTCTTTGCCAAGATGGCAGCTGTTTCCAAACTGAAATCCTTGATCGTTGCTTGGCATTGGAGCACAGCACAAATTTTCTTTACTTCTGTCCTTGTTTGTAGCATTTTCACTGAGTAAATATTCACATTTCTGAATTAACTGCCTTTCCCTAAAGAAAATAAAGCCATAGACATCCTAATCCAGACATAGTTACAGAAAGTTTAAGAATATATCCAGAGACAACAGGAGATTCTTAATTTTGAGAGCTAGACAGCATTGAATGAGCATGATAGCAGAAGTTAGTGTATTGGGTGCTGGAATTGTCTCACAGTGGGATAATCATCCCATATTGGAGTGCAAGTTTGCATCCTGGGTGCAGCCTTCTGGGAAGTGAACCAGCAAATGGAAGATCTCTTTTTCTCTGTCTCTCCCTCTCTCTGTCACTCTGCTTTGAAATAAATAAAACAATTATTAAAGAGATTAGTTTACTGGTAGTTAGCAAATTTGTATAATTTGTATTTTTAGGAAAACATTGGTGTAATGGGAAAGGATTAGGCTCTGGTTTAGCTTGGTGACTCATCCCTGAGTACCCTAGTGCAAATTAATTTCCTTCTCTGAGTATTGCTTTGTGCATGTGCAAAGAAGGGTGGCTTAGAATTTTCACTCTCACTGTGATATCAATTTGAATTTTGAATTTTGTGATAGTTTTCCTTGTGGATACTGGTCCACAGTAGCATCAATGAAAGAGTCTCTTCTTTTAAAGCATGACCTGGTGACTGGGTAGGACCATTTAGAGAATGCTTGACTTTAATTTGTGTACTCGACATAGCTTAAAGAACTCAAATGTAGTCTTGCAAAAAATAGACATTTTCTTTAGTTGATCCCATTCTTCCGAGATCTCCATTCTTTCTGGTTGTTCCATTTTCAAATCTCTAGGACATTGGGGGGGACCCTGTCATTCATGTACCTGGTTTCAGAGAAGAAACTATCTTCTTACTGCTGCTGGAGAAATCCCTCATTCCTTAAACTGTCTTCCCTCAGTATGTGAAGGGTCTTTAAGAAGTTGGTGCAAAATGTATATTATGAAAGAAACTATGTAGGAATTGAATTTATTCACCAAAATCAACTTTCAATTCCATTTCTCCCCTGAACTTTTTGGAAGTGTCCTCATACTTGGCTCCATCAAATTGGATTTTCCTTGTCATTCTTCACTTTTCTAATGCTCAAAATCAAAAAAAGATAAGCAAAAGCACTGTTTCTGGGCAGGCCCTCTACTGCAGGCATGTGTTGGGTGAGCAGATGGTGCCCTTGGGTGAAGAAAGTGGCTTTTCTTCCAAGGGGCAGATATTTATCCTCATGCCCAGGATGTGCAGTTTGGCCAACAAGGGTTGTGCCAATGCACACAGTTGCCTTCTGCAAAAATCCCCTGTGCTGATGTGGCTCAGGATTGGCTGGCTTTAACCAGAGGGAAAAAATATAAAAATGCAGGAGGTAACCAAAGTTAATGCCTGAAAACATCCTCTTGGTATATGTGACTGTATGTCAGTATATAGCAAGATTGAGGATTGAAGGGACAATGGACAGCCTGAATGCAGTATCTGTGAGCCTCCTTCAACATCTGGAAGGTCAGGATCATGCCAGTTTGTGTCACTGGACGGTAAAGACAGTTTAAAATCATACTTATTCAATGGCCTACATTTTTCTGGGTATGAGCAAGATTCTTAAAGCTGATTTAGGAGAGACTGTGATGGAAATATTAAATTTTTTAAAATTTTGTGTGCCTTTTTCCTGTATCATAATTTGTCAGATGTTTCCTTTTGTGTTACTGCTTTGTTTCTTAACCCAAGTTTTATTATAATTGCAGAAAAATTCCTGTTTTTAGCTTACTATATCATATTTCTTTGCAACATGCTCTATAAAAAACAGAGGACAGGGAGAGACTGTATGAGAGTACTCCCATTTTCTGGTTCACTCCTCAAGGGCCTGCAGTAACTAGAGCTGGAGCATGGCTAGGCCAAAGCTGCAGCTGGGAGCCAGGAACTCAACCCAGGTGTCACATGTAGATGGCAAGAATTCAACCATTTGACCCTTAACATTGCCTGTCAACATCTGCATTAGCAGGAAGCTGGAGTCAGGGGCTGAAGGCAAGAACTTCAATATGAGATGAAGGCGTCTCAACCGGCATCTTAACTGCTAGCCTAAGTGCCTGCCTTTGGAAAACATGCTTTGTTTTCTCCTTGCACTCTTCCTATCAGTTATAAGTGCAAAGATTAATAAAAAAAATACCTAAATAACATAATATCCTGATGCTGGCTTCTCAAGAAAGTTTTCTTTCTTTCTCTCTTTCTCTCTCTCTCTCTCTTTCGCTTTCTTTCTTTCTCTCTTTCTCTCTCTCCCTCTCTCCCTCTCTTCCTCTCTTCCTCTCCTCTCCTCTCCTCTCCTCTCCTCTCCTCTCCTCTCCTCTCCTCTCCTCTCCTCTCCTCTCCTCTCCTCTCCTCTCCTCTCCTCTCCTCCTCTCCCCTCCCCTCCCCTCCCCTCCCCTCCCCTCCCCTCCTCTCCTCTTTTCTTTCTTTCTTTCTTTCTTTCTTTCTTTCTTTCTTTCTTTCTTTCTTTCTTTCTTTCTTTCTTTCTTTCTTTCTTTCTTTCTTTCTTTCTTTCTTTCTTTCTTGTATGCTTTTAAGGAGATTTAGTTAATTGACCTTATTCAATCCATTAGCATATTCAAAATGTTCCCTAGAAACCATAACAAAATGAAGATTTATTTTTTAAAAAAAGTCTGGTAACCTCACTTGAATTATCTAAATGTTGACAATAAGTGGATTTAATTTCATTTCATGAGAAGGAAGCTTTGGTTTTCTTGATGTATTTATACAGTTTCCTTTCCTATGAGACTGAGTCTCAAAAGATTCTCCAAGTGGTCCAAATGTAATTGAAAGCCAGAGCATCTTAATCATAATATTGTGTTTCATGATACTGGCTGACTTAATTTTTGGAAGAAACAGTGCTGTATTGGGAATTGTGGTAGGAGGAAGCCAGGCTGACTTGTGACTTGATTGTTTCAGGCCAATTCGAGAAGAACGCTGAACAAAATAGTTTGAGAATTTAACAGTATACACTGACAAAATGGTGTTTTGAAGGCACCATCCCTCCTCCCACATACCAGGAATGATATTTTGCCTGACTCTTGGTGTTGGTATAATTTGTTACGTATGAAGACAGTTTTCACTGAAAATTGTGCAGGTTTTATGTATTAAAAAAGAATACATATTTTGTTCTATATTAAGATATAGAAAGAGATGGATAAGCACTTGGGCTGGTTCCTGCTATCTTCCCAGGCATGTCATTATAGGGAGCTGGATCTAAGTGGGGCAGCTAGAACTTGAACTGACATTCATATGGGATGCTGGTGTAGGATGCAGCTTAACTTAGTGTGCCATAACACTAGACCCAAGTTGTCATTTCTTTTGAGTAAATATCTAGTAATAGGATTTGTGGGCCATATGTAAATGTATATTTAACTATATACAGAACCATCAAGCTGAATTCTTGCTCATGTGGCGGTTTTATTTTGTTGCTCTGTTCTCTGCTTCCAGTAGTGGTGAGAATTAGTGGTTCACAATTTTTTTTTTGACATTCTTGCCACTGCTTGTAAGAGTTTTTGTACCCTTTTAGCAGATGTGTTTGTTCATAAGCTTCATTTACATTTTCCTGGTAATTATATTGTACATATATAAAAATGCTTCAAAAAGTTCATGGAAAATGGAGTTAACAGATCATTATTTTTGTGCCCAAAATTTTAAATCCATGCATAATTTTTGGATAGTATGCATTTCTGTGAACTGTTTGAAGTTTTCTCCCATGATGGATTTCAAAAGATTCTACATATTTGTTTGTTGGAAAGGCAGAGTGCTAGAGGGAGAGAAAGAAGCAGACAGATCTTCCATCTGCTGGTCACTCCCAAAGTATACACAAGAGCCAGGCTGAAGCCAGAAACCAGAGCTTCATACAATAGCCACCATCCTCTTCCTCCTCGGCCTGGAACTAGAACCAGCACTTTGGGGTGAGATGCAGGCTTCTCAAGCAGCTGTTTAACTGCCTGTCTCTGATCCAGAAGAACTCTTTAAATGAATTATTCAAAAGTCAAAAAGAAGACAGAGGGAGCCAAGTGCTTGAATCATTCCCGGCTGCTTCCTAGGGTGAGCATTAGCAGGAAGCTGGAAGCAGAAGCAGGACATGAACCGTGGCGCCCAGACAGGATATAGGCATCCCAAGCCGTTTCCTGCTCCTTGTGCTGAATATCTGGTCTAAACGAGTTAGTTCGGCATGAACTTTTTGATGTACTTTCATTGTTCCATGTGCTCATTTTCTGTCTCCATGCCTTCTTTGGTTGAAGTGTCCATTGGATCCTTTGCTTACTTTTGTATTGAGTGCTTTGTGTTCTTATTGTTACACTTGAAAGATTATATATTGTGGACGTGAGCCCTGTGTCATATATGTGATTTTTCAAAATGTTTCGCAATTGCATATTTTCATTCTCTTAACAGTGTCTTTCGTAGTGCAATATTTTTAATGTTGATCAAATTTAATCTTTTCTGGATATTGATTTTGGTGTCACAGTGTCATGTTGTCTAAGAATTTTTTTAGTGAGGGACATGTCTAACCCCAGGTCATAAAGATTTTTTTGTTACTTTTTTTTCCCTGGAAGTTTTATAATGGTCAGTTTTCCATTTAGTCCTGTGATCTTTTTGCAGTTAATTTGTATATAATGTCTTCAGTTTTCTTCTATCTACAGGCTCAGCTTCTCTAGCACCCTCTTTGCAAACATTATCTTTGATTACCTTTAAAATGCTGAAAGTTTTAAGTATTTATACTAGACTTCACTATCATCATTGTGATTATTTAGTTGTCTGATTAATAAATGTGTTTTCATCACTTATCCAAAACTTTTCAGAGTATTCTAAAATTTGGAAAGAATTTTTAAAACAAAATTATTATTTGTCTCATTAAAAAAGAGCATAATGGAGTGCATGATTTTAGACATAGGGACGTAAAAGTTTGGTTACTTAGCTCAATCCAGGATAACATTTTGCAAAACAGTGTAGTGAGAAGAATCTGGGTCTACTAAGGGAGACAGTGTTTACTATGAGCTCTGCCAAATGCTGTTACCTTGGGCAGATTGCATCACTTTCTGATGTTTATTTTTCTCTTCCATCAAAGAAGAAGGGAAAGTAGATACTCCCCAAGCTCTGTTGTAATTCCCGTAACCTTGGTGTTGCCTAGTGCTGATGGGAGAGTCTTTGAAAATATTCATGGCAAATAGAATTTCAAGATGCTTTATCTTTTTGCAAAAAATTGGAAATCCATGTATATTTTTTTCAAGATACACATTTTCCATGAATTTTGACAATCTCTTGTAAACATGGATTTCAAAATTTGAACCAAAATGGACTTATATGTGTTCATTTCATTTTGTCCAAAGACTATTTGAAGTGCCCTTGTTGAAGCTCAAGCAGATTGGAAACCAAGAATCAGGAAAGCAGAGAGGGGTCTGATACTTTGTATTTGGCATTCTAAAGCATTTGTTTGCCTGTGCCTCTGCGTGTGGATTCTTGGTGGGGATGCACAGTCTCATAACTTGTTCACATGGTACACAAGAATTCACAGTGCCAGAGGAATGCTTTCTGTTTTTATTTTAACAGCTGGACCAAGCGACACTCTCCCTGGCTGTGAGGGAAGACTATCTTGATAACAGCACAGAAGCCAAGACTGTAAGTGTCTCAGTTGTATTCACCCCTTGTACCTTGTTGGACTCTTGTCACGCTCATCAGTTGCTGCAAGGTCCTGCTTCTTCACTTGAATTGAGCTGTGTGGTTCTTCTATGACCATATTCCCATTGCAAGATGCAAAAGCCTTTCGTGAAGACAGAGCAATTTCCTCCTTGTCTTCTTGTAGTCTGCGTATCAAAGCCATCAAGTCCCCATATACAAGGCCCTTGTGATCTAGCTGGGCAGACATAAAGGAAATAACCAAGAAATGAACTTACAAGCATTTTCCTCAGAAGTTCAGAGTGTTGTTCACTGTCCATTGCAGGAATCAAACGGGCCAAAGTATACCAAGAAGCCAGTGCTTCTCAAACTGGAATCTTTAGTAATCAACTGGGAAGCTTCTATTAACTGTCAAGTCCTGGAGAGTCTAGTTTGATACAATTGATATGGGGGTCTGAAAATCTGTATTTTTAACAGGTAGCTCAGGTTAATGGAGGGCTAATCACATCCAGAAGGAATCCATCAGGTTGGACTTGTGTTGGTCTGGAAGTCTACTTGTTTCTTGGAGAGTGTAAAAAGCTGGTTCATTTATGACTCTCAGTTGTTTGGAAACTACTGAGCTTCTAAGGTGCCCCAGACCTAGATCCCTTCACTCTGTGGTGATATTAATCCTTCTATGGAAGGCTCTAGACGGCAGCAAACCAGCCAAGATCCTAGACGATCTTTTGGCAGGGGACATACATCAAAAGAGATTGGTGAGTTTTCCTTTTGGAAGTGAATGGATACACTTAGCGAGCTTGGGGATACTTCTGTTTGTGCTGGGTTCTCAGCCATCTCGCTTGAAATAATCTCTTCTCCCAGTACCTACTCAGTCAATTCCTAATGATTGTGTCTACACAATAACTCTTCCAGCTACCTGGCTCCTCCCAGGAATCCTTTCTGTCCTAGGCCAGATCCTGGTTAATACTTGACTATGAAGTAGCCTTTTAGTGCTTTCCTACTTGCTTTCATTCTGTTGTTTCCTTAGCACCACTTCCCAAGCTCTGTTTTCAAAGCACTGTTTCCTATATGACTTGGGCCTCAAGGTAGGGTTTCAATTACTTAGAGGGAGGCCTAGGCCCTAGCAATCTTTCCTGTCCCATCCACTCTTTATTCTCCCCCAACAAAACCCCTCTTTATTCTCTCACTGCTCTGGAGCCTGGAGCTTTCAAATGCTACTTGCCCACTTTTTGGGACTAGAATCCTTCTTCAACCCTTGAATTGTTAAGCATGTAGCAACTTTATTAAGGAACCACTCAGTTTGTCTAATGTGGCAAGTAATTACATGTTTGTGTTTCTCATTGTTCCATCCACTGTTTGAAGCATTATTTTAAAATTTCATCTATATGCTTACTCCTTGCCTATATACAAAATGCCTACCAAGCTACCTTGCATGTTTATTGAGTCAGTATTTTTAGAATTAAATAGGAAATGGTAAAATGTTTCTTTTTATTTATCAAGTTGCTTTCTGGTTCAACAAATATTTATTAAAGTTCTCCCGAATGCCAAGCACTGTGTAGGTCCTGAAGGCATTCACAAACATGAGGGAGACAGAGACAAATGGAAGAGAGGGGGAGAGAGGGAAGGGGAGAGAATGAATACATCATCCTTTGGTTCAGGAGAGAAAATGACTCATCTGCTGGGCTAGCCTGAAGCCAGAATCTGGAGCTGCACCTGGCTCTCTCATATGGATGTCAAGCGTCCAAGTCCTTGAGCCATCAGTTGCTGTCTTCCCAGGCACATTATCAGGAAACTGGATTGGAAGTGGAACAGCAGACATTTAAAAGGCGAAAGATTAATATGATCTGAAGAGAAACCAGAGTATAACAGCAGACATTTAAACCAACACTCATATGGGACATTGGCATTGCAGGTAGTAGCTTGACTTGCTGTGCTGCAGCACTAGCCCTTGTATCTAGTATACTGAATTCTCACAGATATATCTGATATGAGAGGTGAACCCCAGTAAGATTCTTTTGAATCATATGAAGGAGGTTCTCCCTGTCCTCCATGGGTTGGGAATATGTGGCCCAAAGGCCATATAAAGCCTGCAAAATCATTTGATTTGACCCTGCCAAGGCAACCGTGGAAAGGATGCAAAATTCAATATATTTATAGCATGCCCATTTTTAAACTGATAATTTGATTTGGCCTGAGAATGAAGTTATGAATATCTAAATGGTCTTGGGCAGATCTATGATTCCACACCCCCTGGATCAGTATCATTACAGAGAGCATTTGCGCGAGTTTTGAGCATGGGTAAGGAAGGACTTCTATATTTGTTATTTGCTGTATTTTTATTTCGTCATCTTTCTCCTCTTTCTGTTTTTCCTCTGTCCTAAGGCAGAGTTTGTGAGCAATGTGAAAAACAGAAAGACATAGGGCTATAATCCCTGTAGTCATCTTTTATTTCTTAGTGTGGAGATGGGTAAATTGAGCTGGAAGAGAATAAACCACATTTCTTCCAGTCTTCCTGGAGCAGTTCTCCTGCTTTCAGAAGCAGTTCATTCCCATTATTACATTAAAGCCTTGCTTGCCTGAAAAGAGGATGTTTGACCTTTAACTTTCTATTCTTGGCTCATTTGGAGGGTTTGTATATCTGCAATATTGCCAGCTGCCAGAAAACTCATTCTCTTGACACTTGGTGGCTGGATGTTTCTGAATGCCATGGAAACAGCAGCTAAGGTAGCCATCACTCTTGTCTGCTGATGTGATTGGTGGGTGGCTGGTGTTGTATGACACCTGTAACCAGACTTTGAGTCCTGAGTGAAAAATCAAGGACTTTTATTGCAACCTGCTCTTTATACTCTTGTGCATCTCTGAAACGTACTTTGTGATAAGCCATTACTAGTGGTCACTTGCTTCTCTATCTCTTACAGTATCGAGATGCCCTCTACAAGTTCATGGTGGATACTGCCGTGCTCTTAGGAGCTAACAGTTCCCGAGCAGAGCATGACATGAAGTCGGTGCTTAGGTTGGAAGTTAAGATAGCTGAGGTATGTCTGCATCAACAGTCTCTTTCCTTATTTTAAAAGCAGTTTATCCTGAATGAAAACAGAAATGATGACCAAATACCAGCCTTCTGTGTGATTGCCCTTTGGGTCAAAAGTAGAATTAAGATGCTGTTAGCAGAACACTTCATCCCTCTCTCCTCCCTCATCTCAGGATGTTGGGGTGTCTGTACTGCTCAGTGTTTGTCAGAGTAGCAGCACAGAGACCCTTGGACTCTCCTTAGTGTATGGCTGGGTGGCCAAAGGAGAGTACAGATGACTGGCTTGGTTTGAATGGAAGGTTGTTTATGATCCACTGTACGTTGTATACATTCTCATTCAGGGTCAGTCAGCGTTCAGGGAAGTCTGTGCACCGATTCTGGGTATAAAATTTGATATGCCGAGTATATTAGAACATGCTAATAAGCATGTTAAAGCATCATTTCTGGTGTTACTTTGTACCTACTCTTGTTTTCCATTCTTTGTCCCATTTTATTTACTTTCTCATTGTGCCATAGATTGTTGTGGGATAGTCACCTTAAATTCTCATAGGCTCCTACTAGCTGGGAAGAATCCTAGAAGACTAACAAGAAATGAAAAATGGCTAACTTTATTGGGCAGCATAGTTTTTTTTTCCTAGAAGAAACAAAGTGTAAAGCCACTGTGTGTCTCGGTCCAGAGGAAAGTACTGTAGTGAAAAGGGTTAGAGAGGGAACGCTGGATTAGAAAAGGAAAGCAGTTACTGAAGGTCCTCTGCTTGTGGCTCAGTAAACTGTGATAACAGATGTTAGTGTAAATGGGGAGTCCAAGTGTTTATTGGCTTAATATTTGGCAGTGTGGTTGTGGTGTGTTGAGGTCTGGAGTGGAGCTGAGGGATAAATCAGTCTCTCTGCTGTGCATTCCTCTCTGCAGCCCACAAGGGTCATCACTGCATGTCACCTTCCCAGAGCACGAAAGCCATTGAAGGAGTTTGGAAGTCTAGGATTGTGTCTCTCAGCTATGTCTAGAGGCTGTCTGGGTTGCCTTCACAGGCAACTAGGAGGTGCCGAGGTTTAATCTTGACTGAAGCTCTGATACAGAAGGAAGGCCTTGCCCTGAGCCAGTGATTGGATCAAACGGAAACTAGAAAAAGTGGGGCTGAAGCAAGACTGGGCATTGTCAAAAGCCTAAACGAAGTGACAAATCCATTATGTTGAAGGAGCTTGTCAGCAGGGAGCTGGAGGCAGCTCTCTGGCCAAAGGGCTTCGACCTAGAGCTGCAAAGCTGAATCTGAGGAGGTGGCGGGGCTGGTGGGCCTGCATTGAGCCATGATCTGCTCAGGAACAGGAAGCTATTGTAGGGCACAAGGTGTATATCCTATGCAGGCTGAGGGGACTTGGTGCTCAAAGCACCAAAGCGTTTAGTAAAGGCAGGCAAGATATCTGCTGCTCAGACTTCTGCAATTTTTGACATGGAAAACCCTTGGTATGTGAATTTTGGGCTCTGCTCTTCTGCTCTCATCTCAAGTCACTAGGTAGCTTCTGGATGAGAGGTTTTGGGGAGATGCCTGTAGCGAGGGATGTGGGACAGCACTTGACAGCAAGCTCAAGGACATGTTTGTAAATACAGCCATGCAGATGTGTGTCTCATCAGTCCTGCATAGAGAGGTATGTGCTCCGGGAAGGGTCTTATTAATGCAGCAACCTGTGATTGGCACCAAGTAGAGTTAAACTGAAAAGGTTTGCTAGAGAGAATGAATCTTGGGCAATTCTTGAATCAAACCATGGAGGTACTAATAGTGAATAGGAGTGCAAGGGTAGGAGTGTCATGCTTGAAGTGGAAGGTAGTAAGTTTAATGCAAGGAATGATGATGATGGAAGGACCACGATGTGGTTCAGATGTGGACAGAGCAGCTGCTGCTTGTGGATGGAAATGACTAATTTGGTCCTTGAGGGAGATAAGATTGTTGCTGTTACAGTTTAGGTTAAACCTGGCAGAGTCTGGAAGTTTAGATACTGTGTTGGCTGCAGGACCAAGAGCATGAGTGTCAGGAATAGGAAGAATGTGAAGAGCCAGAACCACAGGTGTAGGATTTGAAATGCTCATTCCAGGTGCATTTCTAATTTGCATCTCTAGTGTTGGAATGAGGAGAATCTTAAGGCCTAAGGATACAGGAGAGGGAATGAAGGAATAAGCTCTTGAGAAAATGATTGTAAGTGGCAGTGGCATCTAGGTAGTCTGGTGTTTGTTAGTTTAGATTTGTGTCAAGAGCCCAAGAAAGGTCTGTGGTTCAGGAAATATTGAGATCATCATCTGGAGTCCACAGGTGACAGCAGTAGGATTTTTGCCTGAATTATTCAACTTCAGTTTGGCTGTTTAAAGGCAGCCAGCAGTAGGTGTTGCCATTCACATTGTACCTGAGGAGGAGGTTCCCGGTAGGTATTTTGAATTGGGAACAGTATTTCACACTGAAGAGGAGGTTGTGTTTCACTGAAGTTGTGTTTCCTTAATTTTAATCCTGCCTCATGTGGTGTCATGTTTTCTTCTACCAATCCCTCTCAATTGGGTGCCACACCAAGGTCTCAGAAAACAGCATAATAATATGCAGATGTTTTGGCACATGTGTAAAGTAGTCATGCAGTAAGAAATTAGTTCATTTGAAAAAGAAATAATCAGAATCTCTTTCCAACAGATAATGATTCCACATGAAAACCGGACTAGTGAGGCCATGTACAATAAAATGAACATTTCCGAATTGAGTGCTATGATTCCACAGGTTGGTGAAAACTCTCCCTGAAAATTTCTCTTAATAACTCAGTTTACAAGCAGTTGCATTTTATCTCTTTGTAAATTTTTGTCTTATAAAACTTACTCTCAGTCTTCTTGGTTATCATTACTTTTTCAATTACTTTGTAAAAATATCCCTTGTTTGGGCATTGGAATGCCTTCTGTTATGGGGAACAGAAAGTCTTTCCAGTAGTTGCTTCAAAATTTGTAACCCATCTTCCTACCTGGGCAAAGTCTATATATTGGTAGTTGTTGGTGTTGGGTCAACTGTTGAACAGTGTCAAAAATCTAAGTTTTTGTTGTCTTTCCATTCTACTCTCCTTAGTGTGTTGATTTTTGAGTTCACGTTTAATGACTCATGGTTGCAATGTGACTACCACAGTTCCATCTATCACATCTGTCATCAGGGCAAGAAGGGGAAGGGCCAATACTCGCTATGTGGGACTTTTTTTGGGGAAACAACCACAAGCAAGAGCCACTCTTAAGCATTCCAGATGTTTTCTCTTCATGTATTATTGGGTAGAATTGAATTATTTGGCTACCCCTTAGCTGCAGGGATCCTGGGAAAGTGGGAAACTCATTCTCCATTTCAATAGTAGAGACAGGCAGGCAGGTCATCCATCTAAAATGCCAAATGGTACTTTGGATTAATAGTAATGCTGTGAAGAATGGAGCCATAATACTGTGTGTTGCTGCTGGTTCCCTCTGGTGTTAATGAAGGATGCCTAAGGGTGGGGGGTAGGAGGTGGAGGAGACTAGTTAATGTACTGGTCATTTATGTGTGTGTATGTGAGAATGTGGGAGAGTACAGGTTAGAGAATGGGGAAGGAAAAGAGGCAGTATGCAGGATAAAGGGAGAATGTAGAAGGAGGGAGAAAGTGCAGGATAAAAGGAGTGGAGAGAGAAGGAAACGTTCTGGAAGAAGTGACTCAGAGACCACAGGAGGGCATGGAGCAGGAGGAAGAGAAAATGAAGGAGGGGGGAGTACAGGTGGAAGCCAGAGGGGAGGAGGGACAAGGTCAAGGAGGAGGCATGTGATTGAGACTGGATGACCATTATCAGAACTTTCTGTTCTACATTTAAGCACTGAAGTCTAATTATTTTGTGTGACATAGCATGGGCTAGATTATGTTCAACCTACTTTCTTTGCCTTTCTTCTCACTAGCTGCTTAACAGTTTCTTTTGCTGTTCTTTTCTCCCTCCCCTTAGTTTGACTGGCTGGGCTACATCAAGAAGGTCATCGATGTCAGACTGTACCCTCACCTGAAAGATATTGGTCCCTCTGAGAATGTGGTGGTTCGCGTCCCACAGTACTTTAAAGATTTGTTCAGGATATTAGGCTCCGAGAGGAAGAAGTAAGAACTTTTCACATGAATTTTAGTGTGATTTTATTTTTTTTCCCTTTGATTTACGAAGACCTCCCTTCTTGCATCCTTTGAAAACTGCTTTTAAAATAAGTTACATCTGAACAGACATAGAGAAAAATAGTGCTGCCCTTTGTAACAAATTGGCCTGAGCCGTTGTCTGGGGGCTTTGTAATTGCTGTGATGACAACAAATACACAATGTTTTTGCCTTTTATATCTGGTCTTCCTCTGTACTGTTCCCTCAGAGAGTCTAAATTGTTTATTAGTTTGGGGAACCAGTTATATAATGGTTTTATTTTTTAAAAAACTTCTTTGTGAACATCATTCCTCCCTCCGTCCCCTCCTCAAGTTCATCCTTGGTTTTTGCTTCCTTTTCTGGTTTTATGGTTGTCATTAAATCACTTTTGGCAACAACCCGAAGGGCCTATGTTGGAGCGTCAGAAGCGCACACTGAGAGCTGTAGACAGATGACACTGGTGGAACCAACTTTAGGATCTCTGAAGTTTTTTTTTTTAAGAATGCTTTATAATTTTTACTTTACTAGTTGACTGTTATAAAGGAAAGAGATCCTAAAAATGCCTGAGTTTTCTGTCTTCTTTCATATTTGACTGAAGAAGACAAATCACAGATAGTCAACTAGATTACAAAACCACTTCACCGGGCTAGTTGTCAGGCCATGATGGAAAATCATGTCTTCTCATATGAACTCAGACAAGTCTACACTATCAGAAATTATATAATAATAATAATAATAATAATAATAATAATAATAGTAATACACCTGCAAAAGTCCTAGGAGTGAAATGCAGCACCCATCTTCCCCCATGGAGGCTCACAGAGACCTGTTAAGAGTTGCTGCTCTTTAAAAAAGTGGCCACAGTGGCCAGAGCTGAGCCAGTCTGAAGCCAGGAGCCAAGAGCCTCTTCCGATTCCCAAGGCCTTGGGCCATCCTTGACTGCTTTCCCAGGCCACAAGCAGGGAACTGGCTGGGAAGTGGAGCAGCTGGGGCATGGAGCAGTGACCATATGGGATCCTGGCACTTCCAAGGGGTGGATTAGCTAGTTGAACCATCACATCAGGCCTGAATTGCTGCTCTTATTAAGAGATCTTCTTGCGACCAAAGTAATTTATGTCCATGGTAAAAAAAAAAAAAAAAGCATTAAAAAATGAGAAGAGACATTTTATATTGTTATTGTAATGCAGCACAATAAGCTGCCATCTGCAGTGCTGGTATCCCATATGAGCGCTGGTTTGGGTCCCAGCTCTTTCACTTCTGATAAGCTCCCTGCTAATGTACCTAGAGCAGCAACAGGAGATAGCCTGAAGGTTTGGCTCCTGCCACCCACATGGGAGACCCAGATGGAGTTCCAGGCTCCTGACTTTGAGCTGGACCATGCCCTAGCTGCTGTGGCCAGCTAGGGCATGAACTGTGGGAGGAAATGCTTCCTCACTCTCTCTCCTTTCCACTCTCTGGCTATCTGCCTAACTCTGCCTTTCAAATAAATAAGTCGATCTTAAACACTTGCAAATCCTATCATTTAGAGATAGGTAATGATTACTTGAAAATTTTTGAAGTGCAAATTGAATCTAGAGGTAAGATTAAGTGTGCCCAGGGTCTTAAAAAGGCACTTGAGAAATGTATGTCATGAACAAAATGTGTATGGATTTCAAAAAAATTTTGTGTCAAAAGAAACTCATCTTTTAAATTTCTTTAATTTATTTGACTCAGTGTACCACAGCCCTAATAACCTCATCTCTTAATTTCATTTTCTTTTGCCCTTTCTAATGTGCCTCATTTGTGTGTGCTGGTATTGTTTTGGAAGGATGCTTCATGGACTGGTAGTACCAGCAGCATCACCTTGGGCCCTTAAAAATACATATCCCATACACCTCAATAAAGTAGAGCTGGGGCAAGTCTCCCATTTGTTTTTTAAACAAACGTTGTAGCAGTCTTCTGACTAGCCTCTTGAATGAGAAGATCACTGTGTTCAAAAATCTTTTTGTGGGGCCAGGTGCGGTGGCGCAAGTGGTTAAAGTCCTCGCCTTGCACGCCCGGGATCCCATATGGGTGCCGGTTCTAATCCTGGCAGCCCCGCTTCCCTTCCAGCTCCCTGCCTGTGGCCTGGGAAAGCAGTTGAGGACAGCCCAAAGCTTTGGGACCCTGCACCCGTGTGGGAGACCCGGAAGAGGCTCCTGGCTTCAGATCGGCATAGTATCGGCCCGTTGTGCTCACTTGGGGAGTGAATCATGGGACGGAAGATCTTCCTCTCTGTCTCTCCTCTCTGTATATCCGCCTTTCCAATGAAAAAAATAATAAAAATAAATCTTTAAAAAAAAAAAATCTTTTTGTGACACCTACCTAGTGGCCTATGCTAATCCTCTGCCTGCAGTGCTGGCATCCCATATGGATGCTGGTTCAAGTCCCAGCTGCTCCATGTCTGATCCAGCTTCCTGTTTATGGCCTGGAAAAGCAGTGGAGGGTGGCATAAGTGCTTGGATTCTTGTACCTATGTGGGGGACCCAGAAGAAGCTCCTGGCTTCTGGCTTTGGATCGGCTTAGCTCTGGTCATTTAGAGAGCGAACCAGCAGATGGAATACCTCTCTGTGTGTTGTTTCTTTTTTCTGTACTATCTGCCTTCCAAATAAAAATAAATCCTTAAAAAAGATAATTTCTGTGTTATCACTTGGTAGCTCTGAAACACTGTAAAATATAACCCTTGTGATTTTTAATGTTTCTATTCCATTGAATGATTGAATACACTTGATTGAAACTTTGCTAGTAATTTCCATTGAAAGGTAGCATTTGCTGTATAATTTATTCATTTTGTAGAACCTGATGAGTTGGTTTCTTCAAGGGACTGTGTTCTCTTCAGTTGTAAAATACTAGCTACTTTTGGAAATTGTGTTTTGTTTCCGCAAGGGCCTAATTTACAACCAGGGGATAGATTGAGCTTTGATTCATTGTGTTAGAAACATCTGCTCCGTGGGGGCTGATTTGATTTCTGAATTGCAGGACCTCTATTAATAACAGGGAATAAAAAAGCACAGGATTGGCAAGATTTTCTCTGGGAACTGGTAACTTAGACAAATGTAAAAATAGCAATCATGGGGCAAGAGAATAGAATAGTTATCTGCAGACAGCGTGCATATGTGTGATTTTTCAGTTAAAAATCAAAAGCCAAATCTCTTGTATGTGGGCTAACCCTCAACAACCCAGTTTTCTGGGGAAATTTGTATCCTTTGTATTCTTGTGCAACTTCAGGCCACTGCATGCATCTTAAGAAGATAGACAACCCTCTGCTTGCACAACACAGCAAGATGTTTAGATTGCTGATTGTGTGATCCTCACTCCTGTAGCAGGACAAGGCTACTGCAGGGGAGGTCCTGTTGGCTTCCTGACATGCTTGTCAGGATATGCCAAGTGCTCTCACGGGTGCCTTGAAACTCTCATTGGCTAGTAAAATAAAAAAACAAGTCTTTTGCTCTGGAACAACCCAACATGTGTGCTCCCAAAAGTTAACTTTGTTCCAAATAGTAACTTGGGAATGTGGCCTCCTTCTAACTTGTGGTTCTGCCCTTGCCCAGATTTTTGGCATCCTCTCCATGTAACTGGTGGATGGAAAAGGAGAGAGTGTGGGGGATTGCATAGGATTTTGTGGGAAGGCCTGAGAGTGGCATATATCAACGTCTACACATTCTGAATAAACCAGGACTCAAACATGGGACTTGTCTAACTGTACGGGAGGCTGGACAGTAGGAGCGGCCTCACTGTTTGCCTAGCCGGGAAGAGGAATTGGAGTTTCCTAGACATGCCTGCACAGAGGATTTTTTTTTTAAATTTTCTTGAAATAGTTTCCTCTCTTCAAATTCCCATGAAACAGAGAGCATCCGTGGCAGGCAATCTTATAATTGCTTATGTAGTTTTGAAGCTGAACACCGTGCTTCTCATTGTGGATACTCCTTAAAAATTCTAGGAATTGACTAAGGTGCCTGATCACCACCTGCAGGGTGGTGAAATATGACTAGAACCCCAAAGAATGAGGGTGAGTTTTTGGATATGGGGGTAGCAGGAAGAAGTGGGTATTGAGTATCTTGGATAATGGGAACAGCATGAACCTGGATGTTGCCTTCAAAGCAGGAGGGCGTGGTTTAGGCTCAAGATCTGTGGAGAGAAGCCTTCAGTTTATTGGCCCAAGTATCTTTCTACCTCTCCTCTGGCAGTCTGTAGAAGAAGTAGCCAGCTAAGCCTTCTCACATTGGGTGTCTGTTCTATGCCTCTGTTCTAAGAGTCTGTGAAAGGCATGTAGGTGTCATGGTCATGTTTAGCCCTACAAGAATTAACAGTCGCCTTTGAGCCTTACAGCAATCCTATCTGGTGTTCCCATTGTACAAGTGAGAAAGTTGAAGTTAAGTGACTTGCCTACAGACTCTTAAAGGGAAGTAGAGCTAAATTTCTAAATTGATTACCTTCACATCTATCTCCATTATCTCTTTTCTTTTTTTTTTTAAGATTTATTTTTATTATTTTTTTTATTGGAAAGGCGGATATACAGAGAGGAGAGACAGAGAGGAAGATCTTCCGTCCACAGATTCACTCCCCAAGTGAGCGCAACGGGCCGATGCTATGCTGATCTGAAGCCAGGAGCCTCTTCTGGGTCTCCCACACGGGTGCAGGGTCCCAAGGCCTTGGGCCGTCCTCAACTGCTTTCTCGGGCCACAGGCAGGGAGCTGGGAGGGAAGCGGGGCTGCCGGGATAGAACCGGCGCCCATATGGGATCCCGGGCATGCAAGGCGAGGACCTTAACCACTGCACCACCACGCCGGGCCCCATTATCTCTTTTCTATACATGTCCTTATGTGGAAAGCAGACATTTTCAGATGTTTCATTGTTCATTTTTAGATTAGGGATGCTCAATGTGTACTAGGATATTGTATTTCTAACAAGATAGGCATTGCTAATCTGGACCGATTTCTTGCTAATTTCAGGGA